TTTTGTATAATTAATATTATAAGAATAAATTATATTTATTAAAATTTTCATTTATTTTATTTTTATACATTTGAAGATTTTGTTATAAAAAAAAATACATTCAAGTTTTTAATATTATTTTTTATAGATCTCATATTCAATCTATGAGACATATGAATAATATGATGAATTCATTATTTAATGACCCATTTGGTATGATGGGTCATTCTAGCCATAATGCTATTGCACATGCTAATCATAGGAATCAAAATCATCAAGATGATCTTCAAGTATTACCATTTGGATTTCCACCATTACCATCATTTAATATGGGCAATATATTCTCAAATTTTGTAAATTTTTCTCTTTAATTTATGAAATTTATAATAATAAATAAGTAAATTTATAATATAATTATAATATATTAAAAAAAAATATTTTAGGATAATATGGCATCAAGTGGAAATTGTCATTCTTTTGTATCAAATTCTGTAATGACATTTGGTAGTGATGGTCGTCCACAGGTTTATGAAGAAACCACATCTACAACAACTGTTCCAGGTGGCATAAAAGAAACAAAAACAACAGTCTGTGATTCTCGTACTGGAAAAAAAAAGATGGCTATTGAACATCACATTGGAGATAGGGCACATATTTTAGAAAGAGAACAAAATATTCATAGCGGTGAACAAGAGGAACATCAGGAATTTATTAATCTTGATGAAGGTTAATAATCTTTTTTTATAAAAATTCATTTATTTTATATCTATTAATCATATCATTATTTTTATTTATTTCATATCTAAAATGAAAAAACATATTATTTTATTTTACAGAAGAAGCAGAGAGTTTTAATAAAGAATGGGAATCACGTGTTCGCCATTATGGAAATTACCATCATGGAAATTCTCATTATGGTATCCATGGTCATCGAAATAGATTTGATCATAGACAGTTGGCTTTACCTGATCCATCAGGAAGGTTAGTTCATTAAATATATAATTTATTTCAAACAAAATCTTTGTGTATAATTATTTGCACAAAAAAAGTATAAATATTTATCTTATAATTCTTTAAAACATACAATTGATGTTTAATACATTTTTTTTAAAATATTAAAATGTTAATACATGTAGTGATGTTGCATGTATTTATCATATAAACATGGAAATGTACACTTAAAATTATGTGTGCATGAATAAAAATATTATATATATAGCACTGTTACTGATAAATTTAAATTTATGCAGTGTACATAAGAAAACCAGAAGACGAACCAGTAAAAAAAAGTGAATGAAGAAAAAGGATCTCATCATATTAAATATCATTTTATCTTACTTTCTGCATTCCCTGCTAAAATTTTGTATCAAACATTCAAATAAAAACATTTAAGTTTTAATTTCTATTTGTTTTGTTTAGTTATAATCAGAATTTTATTATAGTACTTTCATGATATTTTAATTTTCTTATATTTCATGTGTTACAAATAATTATAATTATTATATCATTACATGAATATATAATTTATTGATTTAATAAATTGCAACATACTTCATAACTTTGATTCTCATTTTATAGTAATGTAAATTCATTGGGATTAATAAAAGATAATGTATCAATAAAATATCTAATATTACACTTAAATTTTTTTTATTTAATGTATTATAAGCATGAAACTAAGTCTAAATCTTAATATCTAATTTTTTTTATTTTTTTGTTTTATTCTGTTTTTTTATTTATTTGCTTGTTATATGCTTTTATAATCGATATTCTAATTCTTCAAGATGGACATCTCCTAGACGTAGTTTAAGATTATCATCATCTAAACCATACAACTCAATTTACAATTTAAGGTAATTTTAGTAATTTTATTAAAATTTATGATTTTGAACATATATTAAACACATAAATGTGTTAAACAGTATTAAAAATTTGTGGTTTAATAAAATAAATAATATAAAATTATTATGCATTATATTATGCACTATATTTATGAACATTAATTAAATATATTTAATTCATATGTACATATTACAAATATTAACATATTTATAATATAAAAAATTTATGAATATAAAGAAAATTTATTTATAATAAATATCTATATTTGCACTATTAAATTATTTAAGAATGGAATTTATTAAGCAAAAATAACAATTATTCTTTTGAATTAAACTGTTTCTAATAAAGTTTTTAATAAATTACAATATTTTTCAATATTTACTTTGTAGAAGAAACATCATAAAACTATATAAAAATATCTGATTCATGCATGTTGTTTATAGTGTGTAATACAGTAGTAATAGTTAAAGTATATTAATATTTATAATAATATTATATTATTATATTTTTATTTTTAGATGATTTTATTAGATCTATGTTGTATTTCTAAGAGCAGTAAATTGAAATTCTTAATTTATAGAAATGTAATGATAATTTTTAGATTATAAATTTCAGTAAGAAATTAAAAGATTTAAATAAAGAAGTTTTAATTTAAAATTAATTTAAAATACTTTAAATACAATTTTTTTTTAGATATGTTATAGATGTTAGATATATATTAAATACAAATATTTTTTAAATATCTTATTATTTTGTAATAAAATAAATATAATTCATATTTTATCTTATATTTTTTAATAAAGAATATATTTAAAAATCGTATTTAAAAATATTTATTTAAATAAATGAGAAAATTTTTTTTATAAATTTTCAATTTATTAATAATAATAAATAACATTTTGACATATTTTAGCAAAACTTAATCAATTAGTCTTTTTTTATACGTTAATATCAATAATAACGAATTTTTTTATGCTTTATATATAATATTAAATCATGAATATTTTTGATATTTAAATACACATAAAATAAGATATTCAGTTTTCAGTATTTCATTCTTTGAAATTAATTACGATTTTTAAAAAAATATTTATATATTTATAAAACCAATAAAATAAAAAATATAATAAATGAAATTTTGTATCTATAAAATAATATATATATTTTTTTTTTTTCAATTCATTACAGATTTATTATAGACTTATTTATATAGATATTATTTATTTTTTATTTTTCATTTATCTTTTTAATCATATCTTTTTAATTGAAATTTTATATTAAAGATATATAAATTCGTCTTTTATTTTAAAATTAATTTTATATATTATGTATACATTTTTGCTTTTTACATTTTTTTATTTATATGTAAGACTATAAAATATTTATCCATTATAATATTTATTCATAATATATTATTTATTTTGTTATCTTAAAAATTTGTACAAAATATATCACATATTGTATATAATATAAGATTATATATAATAAATAAGATTTGTATAGAATATACTTATATATAGTATAT